TAAAATACTTACCTGTATATCACTCATAATTATCTTAACTACTACAGTTCAATGTCAGGGAGCAGAGTATACATTTAAAAGGTTAGTTTCCAGGAAGTTTACCAAGGAGTGCATTCAGGAGCAACATCTGTGGTGGAAGAGAATGAAGCAGGATTAAGCAGACGGTGGGCTGTGATTCAATCACAAAAAGGTCTTAGCTGACCCCATGTGAAACTCTGAATCTGGAAAGGCTCTTCAAATTAGTCCTACACTGAGGTGTTAGAATCAAGATTTTATATCCCTGCATCAACCAGTCACTGGATACAGTCTGGCTATGGAAAAAAGTCCAGACCTTGGCTCTCTTCTGTTCAATGAAGGACAATTCTCCAAAAGGGCTGACAGCCGCAAGCCCTTGACAGGTAGTACTTCCACTAGCTGGGTTTCAGTTTTGAAGGGTTATCTGGGTAGTATATAATAACCGCCACTACAACCTGCAAAAAAATAGGAACCACACTTTTGCTCCCTTACCCTCTACGGAAACACTGCTGAGCAGTTTCAAATCATAATAGGAATGGGTGAATGATTATTACTTAATAAAAACAATTCGTTTGAAAGCCAGATCTTTCAGAACAAACACCAGGTCAGCAGAAGAAAGAATCAAGATGAAGGTAGATTTGATAGAAAAGGGGTTGTGAACTGTTACACTAACGTGTGCAGAATTGTTTATACATTGTATTTTTAGTCATAAAGTATATTTGACCAAAAAATGCCATTTTACCTATTTTAATGTACAATTCATTGGCATTAAGTACATTCAGAATGTTTCATATCTATCATTATTTCCAAAACTTTTTCTTCACCTCAAATATAAATTATGTAACCATTAATTAATGATTCTGATTCTCCCCTCTTCCCAGACCTGGTAACCTCTAATCTATATTCTGATTATTCTGATTATATGATTTTTTTCCTTTCCAGATATTTCATATAAGTGAAATCATAATATTTATCCCTTTGCATCTGGCTTATTTCACTTAGCATAATATTTTCAGTATTTACCCATGTTATAGCATGTATCAGAAATTCATTTCTTTTAGGGATGAATAATGTTCCATTTTATGTACATACCATATTTTTTAATCCTTTCATCTATGGATGGACACTTAGGGTATTCCCACCTTTGGCTATTGTGACTGATGTTGCAGTGAACAATGGCACATGGTCTCTGAGTGTCTTCAGTTATTTTGTGTACATACCTAAAAGTAGAATTTAAGAGTCATATAGTAACACTATATTTAACTTTTAAATATTCAAGTCCTTTGAACATTTTTAGTTGGGTTGCCTTTTTGTTTTTTAATTGTAAGAATATATATGTCAATACACACATATATATGTTCTAGATAGTACAAATTTATCTAGTGCATGATTTACAAAACTTTTCTCTTATTTTGTGGATGATATATTTCACTTCCTTGATAATATCATTTGAAGGACAAAGCTTTTAATTTAAGTGAAGTCCACTTATCACTTTTTTCTTATGCCTCATACAAATTTCAAAAATAATTCAGCAAATTCAATGACTTTACTTACTAATGCTGGTGGAATTCTGAAATTGCACGGAACTAATGTTATGTTACAATTCTGTAGCTTTTAATTGATGTTCAAATGATGACTTTTCCAATGCCAGATTATTTTTATGGGCCCTAAGGACCTATGTCATTGTGAATCAGCATGATTGGCATACCATAGTTAAGCACAAACTATGACAAATAACTGTCATTCATCTTTACAAGAAATTATTTTCCTGCATACTACTGACCTCATAAATAGGAATACAATAAAAACCGCAGGTAAGGCAATTATAGAAAAACATAAAGTGATACAGTTATAATGGAAGTATTAGCTAGTTTAAAAGTAATATCCTGTACTCTGATTGACACACTCTACATTACATCTGTTAAAATTAGACTGACAGAATTTTTAAAAATTGGTTTGATAGCATAGCTGAATGCTCACCTATCACACAGATCACTCAATGTGTAACTTCCTGGCATTTTTCTAATTGCTGAGGTTAATAAAGCTCATCAGTGGTTACTATAAATAAAGAACGTATTTAGAACACTTATAGCTAACTAGATTTTCAAAAATTATTGTATATTTATTATAAACAAAGTTCTTTGCTGTCTACCCAGTCAGGCCTTTAAATGGGCACACATTTATTACTTGATGTATCCATCCCTGCCCCCACTAAGGACATACTTGAATAAATTAAGATAAAACAAGGTTCATGTACTTAAATAATTACACCTAGTGGTTATCCAAGAACAAGAAACTGTCATACTTCAATGCCACAACCAGCATGCAAGTGAAAATTCCCCAAACAGATAATCAAGAAAATAAATATATGGTTATGACTTGCTGATGCTCTTTGAGTTTTCATGCAGCCACCCTATACTGTCCCATTCACCTTTTGTAGTTGGCAGGCATTAAGATTTGTATGGATCCCAGAAACACATTTGCTATACATCGCCTTGCATAATGCTCAACTGAAAGTTCCTTCAAGGGTTTGCTATGTTTCTATTGTTGTAGTCTGTGTATGTTCTTGCCTGGATATTTCCGTTCCTAAACTGAGTAAGAGGATAAACCCAAAAGAAGTTGAGAGCCACAATCCACTATGACTGATTTACCACATCATGTGTAGGATAGTTCTGCAGCAATCAAAAGCTTTGAAATAAACTATGGTGCTAGTTGTCTCATATGTGCCTTTATTTAGGCCCTCATCTATTACAAAAACTTTCAAAGGTATCACAAAGATATAAAACACAAGAAAAGATCAATTAGAAGTAATTTTTTAGGAAATGGAAACAAGATTAGGGACATCACCTGCAGTCAGTAATGAGATATAGTATGGCCATGCCACTTCTCTGGGTAAACCAAAATGCATTTCCTAGCAGGTAGTGTATGGAGGAAAAGTGAAGAGTGACACAGCCTTGTTCCATAGGATAAAAACTAATTGCTTAAGAGTCAACCGCTCTTCCTGATACTATCATCTGAAAGCAATTTCTCCCAAAGTTTTCTTAAAAAGACTGCAATGTAACAAGAAAGCCTTTGATAACATTCCTACCTAAAAATGATAATAAATCCCTTAGAATATTTCTGGGTCATCTGATGTGCATAACTGACATTACAACATAGTGCAATTAACTGAATGCAACCTTAGTGTGGTTAGGGGAGAATGCAGTAGATTTCAGGCACAAGGCCTTTGGTTATTCGATTTAATCATTGAATAGATTTTAGAGCACCTAAAGAAATACATAGATTGCAAGACTTTAATCATTTACTAGCATTACTTCTTCAGTAGATATTTTAGGTTTTGTGTCTACCTAGGCAAGCAGTTATTGAGAAAGGGTTCTGTCTGCTTACAGAGGCCGTGTGCAAAGTGATTCAGAGACACAGCTTTAAAGTATTGAGTTTTTAAACCAGCAACATCACTTAATAGTTCTGTGATCTTGAGCAAGTTTCTAAGCCTCTCTATGCCTCAGTTTTCTCATTTTTAAAAATGGAAATAACGCCTATTTCAGAGCATTCCTACCATGGGTAGCCTATGCAGGCTCTAGCACCTAGAGAAAGCCCCAAGGAAAAGAGCTGTGGTTATTGTCAGTTAAAAGATGGCCCAGATAAATTTCATATGGGAAACCAAAAATGTCCTGGGATAAAAATGAAGTGCTCTGTGGAGTGCCTATCATAAATCACATTTAAATAGTAACTATTGTATATCACCTAAATTACAGCAGTGAAGTTACAAGTAAACAATATGCCATAATTAACAGTTGAGTTAAAGGTTGAGTTCACGTCCTCATGTGAAAATTGAGGATCACAGCAAGGATTTATGCTTGAGTGGAAGGCAACCCACCCCACTCTGGAAGTTCCTGTAAATGGGGCCAGAATTCTCCTTAGGAAATAATTGTGAGTCTGCTCTAATGCACAGATCACTGTGTAACCAAGGCCTCCAATTTCTGCTCAAAATAGTACAGCCAGAAAGATTTTTAACATGAGGATTTTTTCAACTGTGGTAAAATAAACATAACATAAAATTAAAGATTATTAAAGTGCACATTTGATTGGTATTTAGCACATTAACAATGCTGTGCAACCACCATCTCTATCTAGTTCCCAAAGTGTCATTTCTCAAAAGGAAACCTTGAACCCATTAAGCAGTCACTCCCTAAGGCTCTCTCCTCTAGCCTCTGGTAAGCACCAATATGCTTTCTGTACTATGGATTTACCTGTTCTTTGTATTTTATATAAGTGGAAGCATGCAATATCTGACCTTTTATGTCTGGCTTCTTTTACTTAATGTTTTCAAGGTTCATTTACATTTTAGCATGTATCAGTACATCTTTTCCTTTTATGGCTGCATAGTAATGCTGCAATTTGTTGATGGGAATTTGGGCTGTTTCTACCTTTTGGCTATAGTGAATAGTGCTGCAATAAACATTTGCATCAAGAATTTGTTTATCTTTTTTCAATTCTTCTGTATTTAAAACTAGAAGTGCAATTTCTGGGCCATATGGCACTCTATGTTCAGCTTTATAAGAAACAGCTAAACTCTTTTCCAGAGGGGCTATTCCATTTTACATTTCCACCATGTATTTACAAGGGTTCCAATCTCTCCACATTCTCTCCAATACTCATTACTTGCCATTTTTAAAATTATGTGAAGTGATATCTCATTGTGGTTTAGATCTGCATTGCTGGACATTTGTATATCTTATCAGATATATGATTTGCAAATATTTTCTCCCATTCTATAGGTTTCCTTTTCACTTTCTTGATAATATCTTGTGATACACAATTTTTTAAAAAAGTTGTTAAAGTCCAATTTATCTATTCTGTTTTTTTTACTATTATGTTTTTGTGTCATATTGATGAATTTATTACCAAATCTATGTACTTGGTCTTGTAATGTGCACTGGCTCTGGCATAAAGCAACCCCTGGATGCAAGTATGTCTTGGAATTTCTATTCCTCATCTCTTACAGCCTCTTTATACCAGGAAGGAAAGGCCATGGAGACTGTAGCATGGACCCTGGTAAAAGATTCCAGGACTTTGTTGTTTTTGGCATGGGCTGTTAGAGTCCACATGTATTCATAGTATGCAAGATCACTGTTGAGAATTCAGCAGTACCTCAGGTCATCTCTTCAGTCTTATCTCTATGGATGAGCTTCATGGGCTCTCAAAGATTAAGTGATTTGTCTCAGCATATATCCCAGATTTCCTCCTCAGTGGCTCCATTGCCTTTCCTAAAGATCATGACCAGGATAGTCATCAAATGGCCAGCCTAGGCCATGTCTTTGTTATTACTTAGCTTCCCATCAAAGGTGAGGTCCATTTTGCTGACAAAGGCATAGAAGTGCTTGGTGGAGTTAAATTCCTTCTGTTATTGGTGGAAGTGTAGACCTTGGGGTGGCGCAGGGAAAAGAATTATTTCCTGAGGACCCCACAGGAAGATGGGGTTTCATGCAAAGCTTTATTGATGATGTAAAAATTAAGGGTGTTCCCCTCCAAGGTCCCATCTCTGTCCATCTCACTGTGGAAGAAGTCTAATCTTGTCTTCAGCAGGGCCAAAATTAAGGTCACTGGCCAGAATTTCTGTTCTATATTAAAGTACAGTACAGTCCAGCATCTGGCTAAGTTAGGTTGTGTTCCCAGCTACAGTCCATTGCAGATGAGGTCCACATGGCCATAGGTCATGCAGCTGATTAAGGCCACATGGCAGGCGAATGCAGGTCACAGAGCAAGAGAGAGGAAGGGGGAACCAGAAGACAAGAAAAGGGAATTCTTTGGCTGGGGATTTTAACCTTCCAAGATTTTGCTCACTTGCAGAGGCTTCACCCTCTTAGCCAATGATCCTTTTTCCCAGGCTAGACTGATAGGCAAGCACCTTCCCTACGGCACCCTGACTTCACTGCATATGCACCTATCTCCCCCTTTGTTAAATCCTTTCCCCCAGTGATCTTCATGGAATGGACCAGTGTTTCCCTGGGGAGTGTGAAGCTATAGCTTCTGGTGAAGCTGCCTAGATGACCATGCTTATCATGTCTGGTCTCCCCTTTGCTCTCTTCCTATTATTAATATTGATAAACTAGCTAATTATGATGATAACACTTCAAGTCAATGACAAAAACCAGCTCCATCTATTCAGAAGCTCTCCTGATTTCAGGAAAATGATCCTGGTCTTTTATATGCAATTTGTGAGCCAAAGTAGCTTTCTGATGGTTTCTTTAATTTTCTACTTGAAAAATAAATATAAAACCCAAAAAGCTACCTTCTTAATGACAGGGTCTCTGCACAAGCACTCATTGTAAGGCAAGGCCTATGAGGTGTGTGAATGTTCCCTTCCTTGGCTCTGTTCACACCTCCAATACTTATTTTTTGTTCATTTTTAAAAAAAATTTTTTAAATACTAAAAATTAAAAAGTTCATTTGAAAAAAATATACAAATAGGAATACATTACTGAGATACACAACAACATGAATGAATCTCAAAACACCTTCCTTTCTTCTTGTGCATGACACAGTTGCAGCAGTAGGGATGGTGTATAGAGCTCTCTGAGGGCCCTGGAGAGTGTTATGTGTCCCTAAAACAGGCAAGTCCGGGAAATACTCTTAAAAAGAGGAGAGAAGGAAGACTGAGATTCTTCTACAGCTACAGTAGTGGCTTGTAAACCCTCAGCCTCTGCATCTCATCCCAGCTGTATCTGTCTATGGCCACTCCAGCATGACAGCAGGGATACAGCAAAAGTTTCTTGAGAAAATACATAGCTTTACTATGTGTGATTCGCTGATATTCTCTCTTCTACTCCTAGTCCATTCCTTATATTCTATTAAACTAATGATAATAAAAAGCCAATTACCACCAACTAACAAGGTCTCAGGTGTTTATTATACCTCAGAATTCATACAGTCTCTGCAGTCATATTGCCTCAAGGAACTAAAACGTTCATGCTTTTTTGAAATGACCCTATTGATACTTGGTGGCAGCTGTAGTTTGAGCTGCTCCCTCAGATTTCTCAGTGGAACAACAGAAATCCACTGTACTATGACTTACAGAGCTTCTAACTCTGGTGAAGATGAAGTAACTGGGAACAGATTTAACCACTTGTCTAAAGCAAGTATAAAAACAAATCAACTATATGACAGTGATATTCAATACACTGGGCTTCAGACCACAGAAGACAGTGATCACTGAGAGAGGTTAAACAAAGGACTTGAGCCCATAATTGCCCCAGCTTCCTGCCTGCAGCCCAGGTGGAGCCTGAGGTTTCTATGAGTTGAAAAGCTGAGGCCAAGAGTCTGGGAAGGACTAAGCTGCTGGATTTCATGAGCGAGAGTAATAGGCAGGAGAGACCTGAACAGAGAAAGAACTGAGGAGTCCACACAGGGCTGCCAGTCCTTCCTTGCAGAGTGATAAACTGTATCATTCATGGGGCATCAGGGAGAGCACTCAGAAGTGTTTGTCTCAGTACTGTGGTAACATAAGCCATAGTTAATGCTACTCTGGTCCCATCTGACAAAGCTTGAAAGCAAAAACCATAAGAATTGTTCTGTTTCTAAGTAACAATAGCATGACAAAACAGAGCTTGAGAATACTGGTGTACTGAAAGTTTTAAAAATGTTCATTTGTTCCGGACAAGAGTGAACAAGGTAAAATCATGACTTCACAATGTCTGGCATCTATTCAAAAATTACCAGGCATGCAAAGAAGCAGGGATATATAATCAATAATTAGGAGAAAAATTAATCAATATAAACTGGAAATGATCCAGATGATATAATGGGTAGACAGTTATAACAATATTTTATTTTTTCAAGAAACAAGACATATTAAACTGGTTAGAGACATACAACATATAAAAAGACCCAAAATTAATCTGAAGAGGTGAAAACTACAAAATCTGAGATAAAAATATGCACTGGTTTCAAATACTGAGAAAATAAAAAGATTAGTGAACCCATGTATATGAAAAATATCACAATATATTTTTATAGTACATCTATATATGGAAAATAAACTAGAATCAGCATTAAGATAATATATACTCAATGTTAATTGTATTCACCTTTGAAGGGGCAGCATGTTGACTTGTAAATGGGGACAATCGTCAGTTCTCAGTACCATTAGAATATCTTGCAACAAGTATATGTGCACAATTATCTTAGCAATTAAAATATATTAATAAACCTAAAACAGAAACAGGACCTGTGTTTTAACCAGAAAAAGTTATTGCTAAATGATGTAACAGACAAGGCCTGAAATATGAACAGCTTAATACAATAAAAGAGTATTTCTCCATGGTGCTTGGTAGACATTCTGTACTACTGGGTGACAGAGGGGGCCCAGTGGCTTGTTTCTTCTAGGCCCACCCTATAAACACATGCTTTTCACGTTTACTGATTAACATGAAAAAAAACATGGATGGTGGGAAACTGGATGTCAAATGTTTTCGCCTGGAAATAACACATATTGCTTCTGCTCACAGACCAATGGCAAGGGCTGGCCACAGGATCCTTTCGAACTACAAATGCACTTGGTACTATAGTTTCCCCACGTGCCCAGGAATAAAAGGAAAAGAAGATATGGATGAGCACTTGCAGTCTCCCCCATAAATTGTTACATGCAGGTGCTCAATAGGATGTTGATGTTAGAATTTTTGTGACAACGACCCTCTTTGTTTCCTGGTAGAGTTGCTGAGGAAGCCAAATTTCCTTGCAGCTCTCCAACTTTTTTGAGATCCTACTCTGGCAGTTGTTTCCAAAACACAGGCTCATGTCCAATTTTCAAAAGGATCCTATAAAATGTCAGCTGCGAACTTTGACCTTCTTCAACCTATAGTTCCTTTCTGCATTGACCTAAGCAAAAACTTGTAAAATCTGAGTAAGATGGGAATTTTTCTTCTTCTTTTTGGTGCCTGGAAAAAATCTATGAGTTTCGGCCACCTTCAAGATGACAAAACACTTTTATAGGTGCCATTAGGGTTTCCACCTGGGTCATGTAGTTAGACATGAGGCTGTAGAAGGTCAATGAATTATTTTTAATCTTGCTGACCAAAGATGGTACGCTTGTCAATAAACAAATTTTCACTTCCTGGAAAGATACCAGGGATTTTAGGAAATTAATCCTTAGTAGATGTTTCCCACGCAGTGATTTCCACATTCTTGTATCTTTCCTTAACTATCACTTATGAGAGAAGCTTTGGTCATTAACCACATAGGTAAACTCATAGGTGTATGTGTTTAGTGCCCAGTCCAAAAAAAAGAGCTCATTAAATTCTAATGTAAATATCAGGGTGGTTTCAAAACGCCCTCTCCAACTTCAAATTTATATCCCCCAAATTAGTAAGTTTTATTACCTATCAGACTATAGTCACTAGCTCTTAGGGAAAACATTTTGAAAATGTGGTAGAAATGCCAAGTGAGTGGGCAAGTTTAAATTTCAATGTCAAAGTTACCTTTTATGTAAAACAGGATGTTGTTATCACAGGGGTACGTGGTGAGGGATGGGACCACTAGGGAGTTGGAATACTCTAAGTCAGAAGGAGGACAGGTAACTTTCGTCCTGTTTATTCCACTGGGAACAAGGTACAGCTTTCAGAGGAAGAGTAAAGAGTTAGTGACGAGGTCAGGTTCCAGTTTGGACAAGAGGGCACACTGAGGAAGAGCTGGGGGAAGGGCGCTGTAATGCAGAGAGAGCTGGAGCTAGAAAAAAATGCCAGTACCTAGGCAGAGTCAGCTCTCAAGGAACACTAGGAATTAGGGGTGTACATCTCTAGTTAAATGAAGCTCACGGACAATGGCCAAATTGTATTTATTCTTTCAACTTCCTTCTTTAAACTTGCCTTAAGTTCCTTGGCTGCAACATCCTTCTTTTTATATCCTAAGAGGCATTAATGAATGGTGAGAAGGGAAATACATGAGGAGACTGAAGGTCTGACTCAGGCTGGGAAGAGTAAACAGAATGGGCTCTAGAATTCAGAAAATAGGTCTAGTCCCAGTTCTGACACATATTATACATGTGAAATTGGGGACGAGCACAAGCTCTTTGAGCCTGATGATCTTCATATATAAATTTGGTGTGATAAGCCCTGCCTTTCTAAGACTGCCGGAATGTGCTGAAGTCTATAAAGCATATGGCACAAGTGCCTGGCGTGTTTCAAAACTTCAATGAATGAGAATTCTTACTATGATTGTTGATTCCCCAATCCCACCACCCTCATCTGTGTATATGTGAGTGACTGAGTTTTCTAAATCCAGGAATTCTTAGAAAACATAAGTGTATAGGGCATAGCCTATCAAATCAGACAAAAATGTTCCTCAGCAAGTAAAACTTTGTAAAATCTTCCCCTCAGAGTTTATGTTCTTTAATTTGGGTGTGGGAATGTCCTCCCCAGCTGCATGGAACTCAAATTCCCTAGAATTGTGTCAAGGATCAACTCCTCACCTCCCTCTCAGCTGCCCTTTATAAGACATCAGAATATGTCACCCAGAAAGATATCACTTTGGTATATTGTTTATTTTGAATTAAAGGTACCAGAGAAACAGCTGGAGCAGGAGGGAACACTGGCCATCCTTTGTCCCCCTGAAAGCAGGATGTAAATCTCCCATGTGAAAGTTGCCCTCCCTATGCCAGGAGGCTAGAAGTCATCCCTATCAGTGGAGATAGGGGATTTAGAGCCTAGAAGTCTTTATAAACAAACCTTGTTTCTTCTTCACCAATTTACTACCCTAAACCCAAACCCCTTTACTTCATCAATTCTAAACAAATTTATTATTTGCCTAAAATGTATAAACATTTCTTGCTTTAGTCACTTTTTTGAGTCTCGTATCTTTGAGTGACTCCCATACCTATGTACATAATTAAATGTTTCTCTACTAACATTTTGGTTTTGTTTTTAAATTTATCTTTATTGTTGAACGTATTACAGGTGTCCCATTTGCCCCCCCACTTCGTTCCCACCCCCTCCCCAAGCCTTCACCCCATTTCCTATTAATTTTTTTATA